ACAGAAAAAGGGGTTACAAGTGAAGGGAAGCCATTGTGAAAACTAAAATCCATCCCCACCCCCTGCACCTTCTGGTGCCGAAATGTTGTCAGTTACAACCAACAGCCTCTGCTTTCAGCAACATCCCACTATGGCACGCCAAATGCCCCCACCACGGGACTGCTTTGGGGATCAGGCGGTCAGAGCTGCATTGTGTGGGGGTAATGGGGGGCATCACATGCTGCTTCATACCCGGCAGGATTCTCACTTACAAGCCAAGATCAGAGTGGGCGCTAAACCTTAAGCAGCAGAAGGCGCCAGTCCCGGGTGCAGAAGTGGGCGTGGCTTCTGTGTTAGGACAGGTTGGCTTTAATCAGCATTGATGTAACAATAGCGCCCTCTAGGGGAAGGTGCACCTAAGCGCAGTCCCTGCACCATGTGGGGGTATGTATTGCCTCCGGCAGTGCAATGGTTAAAGTCTGTCTTGTGAATGAGGCGCATTCACTTTGAACAGATTGGCAGCGTGCCGTAACGCACGGAAAACGTCACCGGCTGCAAGTTTCTGGATGGCGGTCAGCGCACTGTAATGTAGGTGCGTTGGCAGCCACTGTTTACATGCGTCGGGGGTGACATTCAAAATCAACTGCACCAAAACGCAGCACGCACAACACTCTGCGTTAATGCGATTTGTGGTAGCGCGTGTTACGGCGGAGCACACGTGTGACCAGACCTGGGGGGGAGGGGAAGGGTTTACCTGCACAAACCTGGCACATTGCAGCAGAGAATTATCTTTGCTCAGATAGACGAGGATACGCTTTGCAGACTCCATCTTGGTCGCCTGGTGTCCGCTCACCTCCTGCGCCTTCTAAGTCTTTGCCGTCCTCAACTGCAATTTATTCATATTGAAAGGACAGCAAAAATTGTGTCCATTATGGGCCCTAACCAAGAAAGAAACAATTGAAGTCAATGACTCTAATCGGCTACATTGCACTTTAACCAGGAAGTGATCCTTTCCCAGAATCCTCAGCGTGCGGGGGGGGGACAGTGCATGGCGCCACCCAGTGGTAACAGAGCAAAAATGTTTATGTTCTTATTCTGTATGTACGGACTCTGCACATTGCTGTATGCCGGGTGATCAGCAGAACAGCCCCAATTCCTGCACCTTCACCCCTCAGATCACCCCAATTCCTGCACCTTCACCCCTCAGATCACCCCAATTTCTTCACCTTCACCCCTCAGATCAGCCCCAGTTCCTGCACCTTCACGCAGGCAGGCCTCTCTGAAAGGGCACGGGGTCTTTGGGTTGAGGTCCCAGAGTGGCAGGCCAGGCTTATTATAGCCTATAGCAGCAGGGCAATGTACTTGAAGGGTGCAGGAGCCCCCACCCCCCCTGAGGGGATCATACAGAACGCCAGCAGGCCATTCCGAGCCTGCACACGTCACATGGCAATCCTTCAACAGAGATTGCATGGCAATCCTTCAACAGAGATTGCATGGCAATCCTTCAACAGAGATTGCATTCCTGCCCTGGCACACGTGCCTTAGGTTTCCTATCCCTGGTATACACTGTATACAGTTCACAAAGAGAAGGTTTAGGAAAACTGGTGTTACACTTTCAGCCATGAGGTGCACAGAACTGATCATTTCAGGCCGGATTCATCAGCTCCACCTTACTGTCTATATGACATACATATTCTTCAGCCCTCTGTGGGGAGGTGGGTGCTGTGTGGAAGTGGGTGCTGTGGGGAGGTGGGTGCTGTGGGAAGGTAGGTGCCTGCACTGACTAGTCAATCACAACATCACAAAGCTGGTGAAACAGACTTTTATTTCCAATGTGGAACAGATATGACAGTGTTACAATACACAGAAGACGGCGGATGAGGGGCACTCTCCTCTCCCGGGTCAGGCTCTGGCTTTTGTGCTGTTAACATACGACTCCAGAATAAAGATGGTGTCGTCCACCTGCATTTCACTGGCGTCCAGCCTAGAGAGGAGACACAACAAATGAAAATAGAAAACCAAAAGAACGATGCTGTAAAATGTTTACCGTAATGCAGGATGTAGGTTTGTGTATGTACATTGGAGTGGGGATTGGGCAGTGTACACAATATTGACCTACTGTGTGGTGGTTGGGGTAGTGTCCATGGGAAGGGGTCCATTAGAAGGTCTCATTTGTTGATCTACATTGGGGTGGGGATTGGGCAGGATACAAATGGGGGGGTCCTCTAGAAGGTCTCACTTATTGATCTACAGCGCAGTGGGCAGATGGTGGGGCAGTGTACATGGGAAGGGTACTGTATTAGGTCTCATTTGTTGATGTACATTGGGGCGGGGATTGGGCAGGGTACACAGGGGGCCCTCTAGAAGGTCTCACTTATTGACCTACAGTGCGGTGGTTGGGGTAGTGTCCATGGGAAGGGGTCCTCTAGAAGGTCTCATTAGTTGATGTACATTGAGGCAGGATTGGGCAGGATACAAATGGGGGGAGGGGGGAGGCCCTCTAGAAGGTCTCACTTATTGATCTACAGTGCAGTGGGCAGATGGTGGGGCAGTGTACATGGGAGGTGTCCCCTAGAAGGTCTCATTTGTTGATGTACTTTGGGGTGGGGATTGAGCAGGGTACACAGGGGGGCCTCTAGAAAGTCTCACTTATTGATCTACAGTGCAGTGGGCAGATGGTGGGGCAGTGTACATGGGAGGTGTCCCCTAGAAGGTCTAATTTGTTGATGTACATTGGGGTGGGGATTGGGCAGTTTACACAGGGGGGCTTCACTTATTGATCTACAGTGCAGTGGGCAGATGGCGGGCAGTGTACATGGGAAGGCGTCCTCTAGAAGGTCTCACTTATTGATATACAGTGCGGTGGGCAGATGGCGGGGCAGTGTACATGGGAGGTGTCCCCTAGAAGGTCTCACTTATTGATATACAGTGCAGTGGGTAGATGGCGGGGCAGTGTACATGGGAGGTGTCCCCTAGAAGGTCTCACTTATTGATATACAGTGCAGTGGGTAGATGGCGGGGCAGTGTACATGGGAGGTGTCCCCTAGAAGGTCTCACTTATTGATATACAGTGCAGTGGGCAGATGGTGGGGCAATGTACATGGGAGGTGTCCTCACTTGTTGACATTCCGTTTGAGGCTCTCTAGCTGCTGTCGTTCCGGTGCTGTGATCATCTCTTCGATCTCCTGGAGTTGGGTCTCCTCGGCCCCCGTAGCCTGCATGGAAGCGATGATCGCCTCGACCCTCTGCGACTTCTCCAGCAGTCGCCTGAACGATACAAAACATTTTTCATTTGTCATGTTATTAATATGATCATTATACAGGATTGTGTAACTCTTTACAAACAAGATAGAGCAGAACTCCATATTGGATTTCATTTTTACTTCTCAGAAGCAGAGGGGGTCCCGGCTCCATCTCTATGTATCCCCTTGTGCATTACAACCATGGCTGTTGATAGGGGCAGTAGTCCCTTACCAGGGCAGCACCCCAAAGGGTGCACGGGGTGGGGGCACAGGCCAGGGCTGCCCCTCTGTATCTTACGTGCGATCGATGTCTGTACAGACAGTAGGACAGTCGAGTCTTAAATACTCTGTGTGACCGATGGTGCTCATGAGTACTCTGCAGACCCCAAAAGCACAAAGCAGACCGGGGCTGACGTAAGCATGACAGCGCTCATACTAATCTACTCTTCTGTGCTTCCAGGTCACACTATAGCCAACAGTCACAGACAGCAGGAAGTGGGGTTGTGTTGGGCCCTGTCAGGTATACGGTGCGGGGCCCCATGTGTAGTAATGACAGCCCTGATTGCAGCTTCATGATCTGCATGCACGGCACCTTCCTGTACTCTCCTACAGCAATAGCTTTATGGGAACTTCCGGCTGGGTGACACTGAGCCTCAGCAACCACTTCCTGTCACGGTTTTATTTAAAAAAAGGACATTATCACGTTCATCAGGGGGAGGGAGGAACAAGGAGGGCACAATATAAGCAGATTATGTACAAAGGGTACATTTTCCAGGGGGGG